CCAACGCCTTTTTTGGTCTCACTGTTAGTTCAGGCTGGCCATGAACTCACTATGCAGACCAGACTGGCCTTGAACTTACTACGTAGCCTGTGCTGGCCTTAAAACTTGCAATCCTCCTGCCTCAGCTCCCAAGTCATGGGATTACAGGTCTGCACTAGCACACCTGGCTTTTATGTTGGTATTTTAAACCTTTACCTATGAAATCCTTTGTTCAAAAGGAACCTTGTGTGTGTGTGTGTGTGTGTGTGTGTGTGTGTGTGTGTGTGTGTGTGTAAGCTCGACAGATGAGGGAAAGTGAAGGAATTATAATTGAAGCTGGGATAGAGGGCCCAGGGATCTGGAACTCCCCCTGCCTGGTCATATGTGGTCTCTAGGAAGGTTCTTTGAATCCTTAAGGAACCAGCTTAAATGATCTTTAACATTCTATGACTATATTTAAAAATGTGCCTTTTTAACTTATCAGGCAGCTCAATAATTCTGCTGTTGAAAACAACCATATTTTCTATTCAGGCACGAAGCTGAAAGAAAATCAGCTTTTAGAGTTCTCTGAAAACTGCTCAAGGCATGTGTAAGCAGGGTGAGGAAGCAGCTTTCCTAGTCAGTATCTGTGGAAGAGTATGAAAGAATACTTTTTTAATGTAAAAATAAAAAGAACAGGTCTTAATGATCAATTTTTATAGAAAACTAGTCAATAAACTACCATATTTTCTTATATCCTCATAGTATTTCTCTCTCTCTTTGTCTTTCTGAGACAGGGTTTCACTCTGTAGTTCAGGCTGGCCTTGAACTCACTTTGTAGCCCAGGCTGGTCTCAAACTCGTGGCAATCCTTCTCCTGCCTCAGCCTCCCGAGTACTGAGATTACAGATATGTGCAAGCATGCTCGGCCATGTATTTCTCTCTTGAAAAGATTTTACTGCTTTTGTCATTAGCGCAGTAAGCCTCTGGCTTAGCAATGGATGAGTAGTACACACTGCAAAAGGGGACAGCATGAGTCTCTCTTTTGTTCATTTACTTAGTAGCAGATACAGGATTCCTTCCAAAGCTGGTGGCAAAAGGACAGTATGCTCTCTAGGGCTACTGGAACTTTATTTTTAGGTAAGACACCAAACCCTCCCCCGGTCACAAAACAGATTGCAGAAACACTTGCTCACTCTTGATTTGAAGTGGCTGTACCTTGGTGACTGGATCAAATGTATAGCTGCCTTGTGTTGGTGTCAGGTTCATATTTAGCACAACTTTTGGCATGTGAACTGTCACTGTAATTCCTTCAATAGTTTTTCCCATATTCTGCTTTGGTCCAATCGTTATATCAAATCTGCCACAAGAACTGTTCTCTTTAAAGCTGATACTGTGTTTCACATACACTGGTATTGCCACTAGACTGAAAAGACAGAAGGATGCAAAAGCACAGAGACATTCGGTTAATTGGTGTAGGACAGCTCCAGAGGTGGCCTCAAAGGCTCAGCCCAGGTTATCTGGCCTGAGCTCCAACTCCACAGCAGGGAATTCTGCCTTAGAACTGCAGATACAGCATCTACAACCAGGGCAAGGGTGGTGGGTACAGCACAAGGTTCTGTAACAACATGCTGGGAACTCTATGAATCCTTAGCAACAAGTATACAAACCAAGACAGAAACCTTTTAAGATCAACCGTATAAACAACTGGGGAAAATGGCTCTAGTTTAAAAAAAAAAAAAGAAAATTTTACTTAAAATTTAAAATTACATATACTAAAATGGTTCCTAATCCACTTTCTCAGCTTTTCTTTTCTTCTTCTTCTTTTTTTTTTTTTTTTTGGTACCAGGAATTGAACTCAGGACCTTGCACTTGCCAGGCAGGTGCTTGTGCCGCCGAGCTATATCCCCGACTCCTTCTCAGCTTTTCTTTCTCTCAATAAATTCTTTGTACTGTTTAAAAAAAAAAAGGTCCCTATAAAGTCAGACATGGTGGCACATACCTTTAATCCCAGCACTTGGGAAGCTGAGACAGGACTGCGGTGCATTTGAGGCCTGGGCTATATAGCGAGTTTGAGGCCAGCCTGGGCTATATAGTGGGTTCAACCACATAGTGAGATCTTGTCTCAAAAAGAAAAGTTCCTATGTGTTAAGAGCCAAGATATAATTCCTTTTGAGTCCTTTCTTTCTTTCTTGGTGCGTGATGTGGGGAGTGAACCCAGGGTCTTTGCACTGAACTATATCCCCATTTCTTTTTGTTATTTTTTTTTTTTTCCTCTGGTACGAGGAATCGAACTCACGACCTTGCGCTTGCCAGGTAGGCGCTTTGCCGCTGAGCTAAATCCCCAGCCTCCCCATTTCTTTTTGTTATTTTTTTTTTTTTCCTCTGGTACAAGGAATCGAACTCACGACCTTGCGCTTGCCAGGTAGGCGCTTTGCCGCTGAGCTAAATCCCCAGCCCCTCTTTTTGTTATTTTGAGACAGTCTCATTAAAATGCCCAGGTGGGTTCGAATTTGTGATCCTCTGCATCAGCTTCCCAGACTGCTGGGATTATAGGTGCATACTGCCATGCCCAGCTGTGTCTTGTTTTACTATGCTACCCAAATGCTTTTTTTTTTTCATTGTGCTTGGGAAGCACATGCTAGTTAGGCAAGTACTCTACCACTGTGCTACACCCCCAGCCTCTGCTTTCTGATACTTTCAAGGGACAAACTAGCTGTGACCTACAATGCTAAATTATTTCTTTAAAACTCAATGCACAGTGACGGAGGGAGCGACTGTCTTGGGGTGAATCTGTCTTATTCTTCAGAGAGGTACAAAGTCTACACATCACAGTAAAATTATGGTACTAGTATACAGTTTTGTCCAGGTTATAATACTGACTCCAAAATGCTTGTTCTTAGTGATAGATTGTATTATCGTCTTATTACTTCTCTACACTCTTAAGATTCACACTACACTGATTATTTTAGAAACATATTTTCTCCAGTTCTTAGGTCTCCTGATGAGCTATGGTTAAAATAAGCAACGATGAACTCAATTACCAAACTGTCAGGGTGCAACAGAGAAAGGTGAGTTCTGTTGAGCACACTGATCAGTGATGACAGGGTCTAGCAGATGTATCAACATACTTTTGGGAGCTGACACGGTATGAAATGAGTCGGAAATTTCCATCTGGAGGAATAAATGACAAAACTCTTTCAGATTCCCACCGCTTGAACCGGATGCAGGGGTGGAAGCTGACATCATCCAGAAGCCTTGGATTCTGCCAGAAAAACGGAAGACAGCTATTTTCAGAGTATAATGAGTATGACCATGCTACTCAGATATGAGAAATTAATATGGTCCCTGACGGAAAAGCAGTCAGTTATAAAGAGTTTAGTATAATTTCACTTACGCTTTACAGTTTGTGAATATTTTTTGTTGTTGTTGTTGTTGTTTTTTCCAGTACTGGGAATTGAACTCATGACGTTGCACTTGCCAGGCAGGCGCTGCACCACTGAGCTAAATTCCCAGCCCCTAGTTTGTGAATATTTTATGTACATTATTTTAGTTGAAATTTCATAACTGTGAGGGACAAAAGCCAAGTAGTAGCATATTCATTCCACAGATGACAAAACAGGTTCAAAGAACCTAAAGTCAGGAGAAACTGGTAAGAGAGACAGAGCCAGAACTCACTTCTCTTAATTATTCTTAGTGTGGCAAGCTGAGTGTAAAATAACACAAAAGTCCAGTACCTCTGCATATCAGCAAAACAGGTAATTAGCAAAAATGACACTGGAGGTTTGCAAAAGCCAGCTGACAAGCCAATTATAAGCCACTTGTAACAAAATTAAAGACTTCTCTTTAGCCTTTCCATAAAGAATATGCTCAACACATAAACTATTATCTTACAAAGGGGTGCTATGAATATTTCTGAGATAATCTTTTGGAAAATAAGATCTCAGTTTTTATCACTTAGTACCTCATATGTATTTGACACTGAAGAGATGCTACAACAGAACAAAACTTACCATGAAAGAGAGAGAGAGATCAGGCATTCCAGATAGCTTAATGCAAGCATCAATGACCCCCTGAATTTCTGCAAAGACTGTAGATCCTGAAGAAAGAAAGGGGTGATACAATCAGTGGAATCTGGTCTCTGGTCTCTATAGCTATCACTGTATCTACAGTAATGGAGATACTTCTTGGATGTCAGACTTACCAAAGCTTTGCACCTCTATGAATAGGTGGTGAACAGAGGATCCATCACATCAGTTCAGTGTTCTGAGTGCTAATGTCTGTACCTGAGTGGTTAAAATCGTGTATGTGTGTGTGTGTGTGTGTGTGGTACACACATGTGCACCTGTGTTTGGTAGTGGAAACTGAACCAAGGCTTTTGCACTGAGCTATCCCCACCCCTTTTTTTCCACAAACAGGATTTCACTAAGTGGCTTAGCCTGGGCTCAAACTTGCAATCTTCCCGACTGAGCCTCTGGATGGAATATGCTAATTCTAAAGAAAATCAACTCTTTTAGGGTCATCCTTATTATAATAGAATTTTATTTTATTATTTTATTTTTTTGGGGGGATACTGGGAATTTAACTCAGGACCTCAGGCTTGCCATGGAGACACTGTACCACTGAGATAAATCCCTGGCCCCTATAACAATTTTAAAGTCCAGTTTTCTTATGATATAGATTAACCTATTTGTTAACTCTTAAACAGGAGCCATGATCTGTTATTCTATGAGATGGAAGATTATAGTTGATTTATTAATTTGTTTTATTTTTGGTCCTTTTTTTTCATTCTTGAGACAGGATCTTGCTATGTAGTTCAGACTGGTCTTGAACTCACTAGGTAGCCCAGAGCACTGCAAATTTGTGGCAATCCTATTTCCTCAGCCTTCTAAGTGCTGGAATTACAGATGTGCATCACCACAGCTGGCTGAAAGATTATAATTTTTAAAAAGTTTATTTTATGGTGGTAAGGATCAAACTCAGGGTATCAAGCATGCCAGACAAGCACTCTACTACTGAGCCACACCCCATCTCAAAACCTACAGTATTTGCAGTGGATTTTGTGCTTTAAATTTTTTGAATGTTATAATGAAAATGATACTCACTATAACTCACAGTAAGTCACCATTACATATCAATTAGTTGTGCACTGAATCCGTGTGAGCCTCACTTTCCTTCTGCATAAAACATGAGGTCTGCAGTACTAGGAATTGAACGCAGGGTCTCACATGTGCTAGGCAAGTGCTCTACCACTGAGCTACAGCCCTAGTCCCTTGGGGTTCTAATAGAGTATCACGATTTTTTCTCATTAAAAGGAAATTAGAAAGCAGTCTACTAAAAGTACTGTACATAGGGGCTGGGGATTTAGCTCAGTGGCAAAGCGCCTGCCTGGCAAGTGCAAGGTCGTGAGTT